GGGGTCTCACGGCTTGTTTTAGACCCTGCCTGTCCCGGAAGGTCCAGCAGTCGGAACATTCCACAGACTCAGGGTGCTCGCAAGACTCCCTGAAGCCGGGCCAGCTGCCTCCCCAGGAAGGTTGGAGGCTTTGGAAATGGACCTCCCACCCTCGGCTCCACGCGGGCAGAACAGGCTTGGGCGGTGGGGGAGGGAGCGGCAAGGACGCTGAGCAAAGGCCCCGTGGGCCAGTGCCAGGGCCCTGAACCCGCCGGGGCAAGCTGAACTCCGGCGGGAGGCAGGCTGCTAACCAGTAAGCAAGTTGTAAAAACCCAGCTCAGACACAACATCTGGCAGCGGCTTCAAATACTTCTCTGTCTGAAGCTGGAGCCGCTCGCGGCCCTCCAGTAAATCAAACCATGTGCAGAGAGGAGCCCCGGGCCGACCCGAGGCACCCCGCTCTGCCGGGGCCCAGCCCTGCCTCCAGTCTCCCCGGCTCTTTAAATAGCCCGGGGTCCGCATTCCATTTCCTTGTACGCTCAGTTCCGAGCGGGCCCGCCTGGGGCAGCTGCAGGGGTGCGGCTGCCACCCTCCGTCCCAGAGAAAGATGGGGGCGGGGGGAGACGGGCACTGAGCCTCCACGGGGACCTTGGCGTGTGGGACATCACGTCCCCGGCTCAGCCCCTTTCTGACGACTCCTGAGCCATGCCGGCGCCTTCCCAGTCCCTGGAGCTGCTCAGAGGGACACCCAGAGAGAGGGCTGCCACACCCTCTGTCCGCTCACGAGTGTCACGTTCACCGCACGCCCTGGCCAGACACTGACCCTGTGGGTCCTGCGCACAGCCCGGGTGCCCGCCCCGGAGAGGAACGTCCGTCGCTTCCACAGTGGATCGGCTCCCGTGGGCACGGCCGACCGCGGGGGCGGGGGGGCAGGAGGAAGGTGATGCCGACGGGGAGGCCTGGCAGCCGGCTGCTTCCCACCCTCGTCGTTTCACACATCCTCGCGGTCACCCCGCGGTGGGGACTGTTTGGATCTTGGCTCTAAAGGTGTGCAGGGGCACCTCCGGGTGCTCACCCCAGTATCCGTGACCGTGACCTCTTTGGAAGAGGGTGCTAGCCGATGACACTGAGTTAGGGGTCTCGCGATGACTTCATCCTGGTTGATCCACGGTGGGGGACCCTCATGCAGGGACAACAGTCCTTCTACGACAGACAGGGAGACCCAGAGGGGAGAAGGCCACGCGGCCAAGGTTGGAGTGACGCGGCTGCAAGCCAAGGGGGAGCCACCAGCAGCTGGAAGGGGTGGGAAGGGTTTTCCCCGGAGCCTCCCCAGGGGGCATGGCTCTGCCCACACCTTGAGTTTGGACCTCTGGCCCCCAGAACTGTGGGACTGGACACGCATGTCTGACGCAGCCACCCCGTGTTGGCAACTGGTCGCCACCGGAAACTAACGCCGGGGGAAAGCGGGAGTCAGAGAGCCTGGCCCAGGAGAGGCCGCACAGCCCCCCAGCCTCCAGGCACAGGGCAGTGAGGACGGGCTGCGCGTGAAGCCCGGGCCCCCTCCCCCACCACGCAGCCCCCACGCGGCCCCCACGCACGGACCCGCTAGAAGGAGAAGTTCTTTGCTTTTTGGCCGAAATTCATCCCACCTGTGGTCATTGGCAACCGGGATGGCCGCTTTGCTTAACCAGCCATCGGGAAGGACCTTCACGAACGTGCTTTGGTTGAGAAATCTCTCAGAAGGTGGGGCCCGGGGTGCAGGTGGGAGGGAGGATGGAACGTCTGCGAGGAGACGGTTGCAGGGAGCCACGGTCCTGGGTGGGTGCTGAGCGGCTTCTGTGTGGACGGCCCCGCCGGACAGCCCCTGGGCAGCGGTTCTAAGTGGTCCTGCATGGCGTCTCCGAGCTCCGGGGTTCACCTTCCAGGACTCACTTCCTCGGGGAAACCGAGGGTCTGGGGGAGAGCCCACAGCGGAGGTTCCCTACTCCCCCTCCAGGAGCCCCCCTTAAATTCACCTTGCTCATCCCTCCGACAAGCCCTTCCGTGCCTGGGGAGATGCTGGTGGCGCAGCCCCAGCTCTCCGGGCCGTCACCTGTGCTCTGAGACCCGGTGCAGACAGAGCCGACTGCCACCCCGGTGGTGGGGGGGGGGCTCCAGGCTCCTCGGGGCCACAGTCCCCCTGAGGGCCTCTGAAGGAAGTGGGGACCTGCAGGGGGTCTGTGTGGGCACAACTCTGCATATAATTCCGGGGCCCCAGGGACCCCCGGGGCAAAGCGTCAGAATCCGTTCCGGGTGTTTCACCGTGCAGAGGCCTGGGCCCCACCACTGCATCAAAGTTTCTGGGGTTTGGCTTCCCCCCCGCCAAGGTCTCCCGGTGATTCAGGTGCAGGAGGTACTCGTGAAGTTCAAGTTAAGGCCCCAACGCAGGTCCTGTCCCTCTGACGTGCTTCTCTAAGACGCCTCCCTAGGGACGGCTGTAAGGTCCACCCTCAGGAGAGTCAGGGAAGGGACACACGAGGCCTCTCTGCTTTTCCTGCCTGTAAAGCAGACCAGGGAGAGGGTGCAGCCGGGCCCGGGGGACAGACAGACCCGGGGCAAGGTCAGTGCCGCCTTCCATTCAGCCAGCTGCCCTCAGTCTGGGCTTTTCCACTGGGAACACCCTCTGCCCAGGAGAATCATTATCAGACGGGCTGGCAGCGGCAGCAGCTGCTTCTCCAGCCCGGGAAGAAAGGTTCAGAGAAGTGTTAGCTCTCTTAAAACAACAACAACAACAACAACAACAACAAAAAAACAAGAAAGAAAGAAAAAGAAAAGAAAAGAAAAGTAAAAGTCAGAGCCCTGCTGAGCAGGAGGACACGGGAGGTCGACGCTGGAACAGGATTTCACTAGGACCCCGGGAGGACGGGAGGGCGGGAGAACAGCCCGGCCAGCGCCCGCCCCGCCAGCAGCTGGGCCCCGAGAAGCCCCGGGAGGGCCGTGAGTGGCTTCCTCTGGGCTCGTCGGGCCAGGACATCATTTGTTGATTCTAGAGCCCAGTCCCTAGCTCATGATTTCCTCTCCGGTTGCCATGGCCCCGTACAGAAAACACAGCAAACGCCTGGCCCCGGGCAGCTCATTTATTTCAAATATTCCTTGCAGCTGGACTCCAACCATGCCTGGGTGTCTGGACTGGAGCATGAACTAATTGCTCTGTCTTCGGCCCTCTCCCTGGCTCCCCCGGCATACTTTATGGTTCAGTAAAGTCCACACTGCTCATCTCACCGAGCGGGGGGGCGGCAGGAGGAAGGGTGGGAGGGCCGCCATGTGCAGGACCTGGGCGGTGGGGTGCGGGGGGCTCTTCCCATCGATGGCCAAGCCCGAGAGGCTGCTACCTGCTCGAAGGCAGAGCATTAATTGCATCCACATGGGCCAGGATGCAAGACGGTTTTATGAAGACCGCTCCCTCCAACACAAAACCCCGCTCCCCCAGAAAGTCTCCAGGCTGCACAAAGGCCCTTATTTTCCATGTGCTTCCTACACCCTCCCTCCCTCCCCCCACCGCCTGACCCCCGCTCCCGCTGCCCCCCCGCCCCGGCGGCCCCCTTCAAAGCAAGTCGGAGTTCCAACTACAACCCAGACATGAACTCCAATCTAAAAATAATTTCAGACCACCCTTGTCCTCCAAACATGTCTAGGGGAGGCATCTGGGGGTCCGTCTCCCAATGCCCACCTTGGTCTTCGGAGACGGTACCCAGGACGGAAGAACGTGCATCCGAAAGTGGGTTTAGGGTTGTTTGGTCCGTTCTCACAGACCAGTGCCAGCCTAGGCACTGCCATTTTTCCAGAACAGAAAGCAGTGCAGGAGCCTTGAAAGCAGGTGTTTGCTTGCACACTCGCTAGCACGCCTGGCCGGTTCTGAAACCTCATCTCACCCTTGCCACCCGCCCGGGAGACCGGCCCGTTCTGACAGCCGTCCGGGGAGGCTCGTCCGAGATCAAACAGCTCGCGAGGGCCGGAGCCAGCGTCCGGACCCAGGTCTGACTCAGGAGGCCGTGTGCTTGTCGCCGGGCCAACCCACCGCCACGCTGAAGGAATTTCCCTTTACCCAGCAACTTTTCGGGAGAAAGAGCTGACGCGGTCCCAGGGGTCTCCAGACCGCCTTCGGCAAGGCCGCTCGGAGAGTTTGAGAAAACAGCACATTCCTGGGCCGGCCCCAGGAACATCGATGCGTCTGTCTGAGGCAGGGCCTGGAAACATGCGTTTCAGCAGACGCCTCCCAGGTGGCGCCGGTGCAGGTGGCCTGGGGAAGGCTGGCCGGGCGGCCCTCAGAGAGAGGGACACAGGACTTTGGTCCCAGGGGTCTTGGCCTCTGGAACCAGGACACTCCCCCCGGCACCAGCAGACCCTGACATGCCTTTAGAATTAAAAATGCCCACGGGGAGCTGGATGCACTCTTAATTCTTTGGAAACGAGTCATGGCATGTGATCCTATCCAGCGCATTTCTGGACCGTTCTCTTTATCACTTACCAATCCTCTAAATAAGCCAGACTTCCCTGCTTTCTCTGCTGAGGGGTGCGTGTGGGGACCCTGCACCTCCTCAGCGTCGCTGTGCTCGGGGACAGACGCAAAGGTGTGTGACCGTCTCCTCCCGCCCACTGCCCGCACGCAGCCTGGGCTCCCCCACGGGCCCCCGTGCCGGCTCCTACACGCCCACCCAGGTTTCTAACACCTGGACAAGCCTGAGGCCCCTGTGGACACGGGGCCTCCTTTCTGTGAGGTCACGAGTCCCCTGGTCTGGGGGGCCAGCTCACAGACTTCTGATAAGGGATGGGACATTCTGGGATCCACCTCTCCAGGATCTTCCTGGTCCTCTGGGTGACTCTGGCTGGCATCCCTCCTCCTGCCAAGGGGCGGGGCAGGGGGCAGGTGATCACCTCGTTATCTGTCGAAAACTGTGGGCAGCGGAGCTGGCTGGACCCAGGCGGGCTCAGCTATGCCTCCTTCCCTTCCCGCAAGGCACAAAGGAGAACTCAAATGTGGCTTTGTATTTTAACAAACTTTCCTTTATTAGGTTACTGACTATTATCAACCATCATAAAATAGAATGGGAGTTTCCAAACTGTACAGGCCCCAGGGCTCTGGGCTGAGAGGGGAGAAGGGTGGGCTTGGGGTGGGGGGGGAGGTGCCGGGGCGGCGGGAGTGCCGAGAGACGACCGAGCGCCCTGTGACGCGGCCGGTGGCTGCGGGAGGTGCTGGGTCAGGGCCACCAGGCTGGATCTGCGAAGTGAGCCTCTCCCGTGTGCAACATTCATCAGAACAGGACCCGCCCTGGCACGGGAGCGAGGAAAACCTTTACGAGTCTTACAGGTAAGGTCCCCGTGCCTGGAAATAAAAAAAAAAAAAAAAAGCCAAAACCCTCACAATAATAAGGGGGTAATTTACATTCCTCACCCAGTCTTGGCACCAATTTTGTGCTTTAAAAAATATATTCCACTGGAAGACTTTTTTTTTTAAAGGTACCCTACAGCAGCTGTTTAAAACATAATTCTTACGGACAAATATATATGCATATATATTAAACACTTTAAACAAATAAAGTTATCTATTGTACCTGTACAGAAATGAGCTGAAGCCAGACTCTCAGACAGAGTTGACCTCGAGATACAGAAATGCGGTGGCCGGGGCTTGGGGTCTGCTACATGGGGGGTGGGGGGGCTGCGGCCGGGAGGGGGCCTCCCTCTCCAGCTGACCTCCTGTCCCTAGTCCACCTTTCCGGCGTGTGATGTCAGGGGCGCTTAGCAGAGACTGCGTGGGCTCCCATGAGCGCAAGTGCACCTCCCCCAGGGTCTCCCCCCCTCGCCCTGCTCCTGGCTGCTCAGAAGACAGACACCCCCACTTCCCTCCTTGGTTCGGTGCTTCTATGGGGTGCAAGGGGGAAATCTCAGCAGGGAAGCAAGACCTCCCCCCTGCCCTTAAAGCCACGCAAGACCACGGAAATAAAACCGCGTGCAAAGGTGGACGAGCCGAAGTGTAAGTAACCAGCAGAGACACAGAAGCCGCGCCCGCTGTGGAGCCGACCCCGGAGGCGCTCCTACTGCACGTGAGGCTAACGCTCCCCGAGGGGCCCACTCAGGGACTCGGAGCAGAGCCCCATGGAAACTGTAGGTCAAGGGACCCAAACAGAGACACCCACGCCCACGTGGGGACACGCCATAGACACACAGCCCGGTGAGGAGGACAGGGCAGGCACACACATGCGGGGTGGGGGGGAGGTGCGGGGGCAGCAGGTGGAAGAAAAGCAAGAGAACACTCCGGAGAGGTGACCACGACGAGGCCCCTTTCTAAATGGAATAAATAAATGGCTTTTCTTATTGTTAAAAGAATAAATACGGGGTCTGGGGGCGCCGGCGGCGGCGGGGCTGGCACCGAGAGCACAGCCCACGGAAGGTCCACTTCGGGTTGCGCCTGTTGCTCTGTCCTTTCTGACGTCCTGAGCTTGGCTGCTGGGACATGACTCCTCGTCGAAGCACCTCTTAGCACCCCTGGGGTCTGCGCACGGTGCCGGGCCCCTCTCGCCGGCCCGCCCTGGGACCCGGCAGGTGGAGAATGCCCGTGCGTCCCCCGGGAGCAGATGGGCACTCAGCGCCGGGCTTCCTCGGAGTCCACTGTGTCTTTCCCCAAGGAGGGGCGGTGGCGCGGCACGCAGGGACCTCCCGCCAAGGTAGGGCGGGGGGGCGGGCGGGGGGGCCTGTGTCCAGAGCTGTCCGTGTTTGTGTCCCGAAGGATGACGAAGAGGAGGAGCGGGGCCTTCCTCACACGGCAGCAGCAGACGGACGCCCGTCCAAGGTGCAGCGGCGGCGGCGGCGGCAGCTCAGTGAGTCCACCCCAGGTGGCTGTCGTGCGGCGTGCGATCCTGGGCGGAGGGTCACTGGTAGAGGAGGTAGGCCTTGAGGGAGGCGGGCAGCGGCAGCGCGGGGATGTCCCCCAGCCGCTCCTTCCCCAGGGCCAGGCGCACGGCGCGGCGGCAGAGATCCATGAGCGGCACGGGCTCGGCTGCGGAGGGGAGGAGAGAGAGAGGTGGCGGTTAGCGCGGCTGTGCACGGGTCTGCGAGCAACACTCACAACAGGGCAGCGCCACCGATGGCGGCTTCAAGGCACAGCTGGTCACTCGATACTTTTCATTGTGAATGAACTATTAACAGCCAACACAGAACCCGCTCTGGGCCAGGCACCTCGGTCAGCTCCCAGCAAGCACTAATGTAACTCATTTAGTCCTCACAGTGGTTTACAATGGCTGCAGAATGCAGCAGAGGGGGGAACAGAGGGGCAGAAGGCCCGGGGTCGCATTGCGAGGAGGAGGAGACGACAAAGCCAGGACCCACCCCAGGCCGCCCCTGCTTTTCCGCTCAGGACGCCCAGAACCCCACACCTCCAGACCCCACGCCAGCTCTCGGGTGGGGACTCCTCTTGTGTCAGCCCAGCCGCTGGCGGGCACTGCTCTCATCTTCATTTTACAGCGGAGGGCACTCACGCACAAAGCGGCCCCGGCACGCCAGGTGCCTGGATTTGAAAGAAGCTTCTACCTGCAGCCTGCGAGGGCACCGGCGTCCTGTGTCCCTGGGGCTCTGTGTGGCCCGGTCTCAGGTTAGCTCTCCGCCTCAGGAAGAATGTGGGAGGCGTTCCCTGCGAGGCCCGGGGCTCTGCTCGCCCTTCCTCCCACCGCTGACTCTTCCCTGACCTCTTCTCTGAAACCTGGAGCAGGTGAGCGTGGCCGGAGCTGCCCGGGGCCACCCCACGGTGCCCAGGACAGAGAGTCGCCAGGAACGGACCTGTGTCTCCACCCACAGTCTCCCTGGACCCTCAGTCTCCTTTGTGAACCTACAGAGATGAGACCAACCCCCCGCACCACACACACAAAATAAAAAACAACAAGAAAAACCCCAGCATTTCCCTAGAGAGTCCATTCCACCAACAAAAAGTGGATTGAAGCTCTTTAATATCCACACCGTGTCTCAGAGTATTAAAAGTAACATTTAACATTGTTAAAGACCAAATTATCGAAGACCGAATCCTGCGGCCCGGGGTGGCGAGGAAAGGGGGAGTGGCTGTGAATGCGTCTGGGTTTCTCCAGGGCGATGAGCGTGTTCTAGAGTTGACTGTAGCGACGGCTGCACAACCGTGAACGTGCTGGGGGCCGCCGAGCCAGGCATGTTACGCGGGCGAGTGTGCGGTGCGCCAATTACATCTCAAGCCAATTACATCTCAACCAATCTCGAGATGTCATTTAAAATGCACTAGCTTGAGATATTTAAAAAAAAAATCTTAGAATTGATCGCCTATTTGCTGAATTCTAGGCTTTAAAAGAAGACCACCGTTTTTCATCTCTCGTGGGCCCTCGCGGGAAGGCATTGAAGGAGTGAATGGTTTTCACGGAGAGCTTTGAACTGGGGCCGCGGCTGGAGGCAGGAGGATGAACGAAATGACCCTGCATCCTTCGAGGCCAGGGTCCCACAGACTCGTGATGAGCAGAGCCGGGGTTCTCCCCCTGCCTGCTTGCAGAGCCGTGGGCCTCCCTCATCACAGAGCATCCTTTCCTGGGTGACCCCAGGTCTGGCTCCTCGCTTTGGCTCTACACAGAGGATGACTCCTCCCCCTCTGTCTCAGCTTCCCCCTCTGTGAAGGTGTGTAGTTGGTCTCCAAAGTCCCATCCAGCTGAGATCCTGGAGGCGGGGAAACAGCAGCCCTTGGCTGCTGGACCTACTGGACCTGCTGCTGAGGAGCAGCGCCCCCACTAGACCACGCGGGGGAATTTGGAGGCGCATCCTCTCCCCGCCCCTCCCCCCCCCAGGGGCTCGCTTCCCTCTTCCCCCAGCCCCGCCCTCCCCAAGGATGCAGCTCGGCCCCCATGGGGAGACACAGGGGCTTTCCCTGGTGGCCTAAGGTACTTGAGAAAGCGTCAAGAGCCATTGACCGTGCCCGAGAACCTGCCAGGCTGTGGAGTGAGGGCTGAGGGGTAGTTCCCATCACAACCTCTCGGCTTGAGGGGTTGCTGGTCAACTCGCGCACAGCCTTACGGAGAGACACCTCCAAACAGCAGAGACCGCCCCGGCCGGCGTCCCACCCCCTCCCTCAGCTGGTTTGCGTCACAGCACCAGGGACAGCTGTGGCTTGTGGAGCACCTACTGTGTGCCTGCCGGGGACTGCGGTCCCCGACCTGCAGAGGGGGAAACAGGCGCGGGGATGGGGGAGTCAGGGTCCAAGGTCTGAGAGCCAAGGGCTAGAAGCGGGGCACCAGTCCCCGAAATTCTCAAGCGCGGCTATTTCCATGCCAACACGAAGAGGGAGCTCCCGGCAGCTCTCCGCCGTTCACCCAAAGGGGCGCAGACCTACCGCCCCCTCTGCTGCCCCTCTGAAAGCAGCGGTGGAAGGGGGGCTTCCACAGGCTGACCAACTTGGTGCCACCCTGAACAGCCAGTTCAGGAGAGGGGAGGTCTGTGCAACTGGAAGGGGCGTGTCCTTCCATGCCAGGTCTTCCAAGATGGGCTACGGGGGTGGCAGCTGACAGCCACACTGATGTTACGAGCTGAAAATATGACCCATCACCCACACATCCCCAGGGTGGGTCTATGCTCAGGGACCTCAAGGACAAAGAGGTCACCCCCCCCAGCCCCGGCCGACCTTGTAGGAGCCAAATGGTGACGCACGGGCCACGGTCCGATTACTTCTCAAAGGCCGGGCAGGCCGAGCACACTCTGGCCGCAGAAGCAGACGTGGGCACCGTGCCGCGGACCATGTCTGTCCCGTGGGATTTGGTGGGTCGCTAACAGGACCCAAGAAGTGCCCCCTCTCCCCTCAATCCTTCTGCCTGGGGGGGCTGCGGCCTCTGTATCCAGCCCCCTCCTCGAGGCTGGGGGCCCACTGAGATTCCCCCGAGGGTTTCCAAACACAGGGCAGAGCTGACCTGATGACTCCTGGCCGCTCTGCCATCTCCCGAAGCCTGTGGCGGGGGGGGGGGGGGGGGGGCTGACTCATTTACATAGTTCAAGTGAGTCACTGCGGGGGGGGCGGCGCCCAGTGCAGACACCAGGAAGTAAGTCAGGGAGCTACTCCTGGGAGCGGAGGGTTGAGGAACTGGCCAGTCCATGTGCCGACTTCCTCGTGTCTAGCAGACACGGTTACTTGGTGGCCCCAGTGCCGCAGCCTGTGGCTCTCGAAGTCCCCTGAGACCACAGCACAGCCTGAGCTCCAGAGCCCGACCCTGGCCTAGTTCTTGGCTAAATGAATGGGCTTTGGGTGGGCAGGTGGGGTCAAAGACCAACGTCTCACGTCAGGAAGTGCCCCAAATTCAATGATGTCCCCGCCCTCACCTTCTCCACTCCAGTCACTGGCGTTGTGCTTATTCCTGCAAGCAGCAGCAGTGAAAATGCTCCCGGAGACGGATTCTAGAAAGTTCCTACGGGGCAGCCATCCCGGGATATGTGGGCATTTCCCTTTCCATTTAGCAGCTCTTACAAAAAAGCAGTGAAACAAAACACTAACCCTTGCGTTTGCCAACTAGGGGAGAATGCCTGACACCCAGCCGGGTAATGTGGGCGCCCTTGTTCTCTGGCCTCCAACTCTGAGAGCCCACCGTCCCTGTATGACCAGCCTTTTGGGGGGCATAGGGTCTAGAACAACCCCGTCCCCCCACATGGCCTTTCCCCCCAGAAAGAAGCCCCTGCAGGGTGGGGTGGTCAGTCTCCCCAGACAGGATCCCCCGCTAGACCCGGCTGGACTGGGGGTGCAGCAGGGAGGGGCCGGCATGGAGTGAGGCGCCCCGGGAGGACACCAGGAGGAGGCCACCAAGTCAAAAGACTCCTGAGGAAACGAGCTGAGCCTTGACCGAGCCCGAGGTCACGACAGACCGCACCAGACTTACCCGGGCGCCTGAAAGGGAGAACTTGAGAATGTCTAACTCAGCGAAACCGCTCCCGTGGTGAGGACGCCTGCTCCCCGTGGGGGCGGGCAGGGGGACTCGCGGGTCAGGGACTCTCCCTTGGGTGACGGTGGTCTGCTGCTTGCAAACAGGCCTTTTCCTGCTGCATCTCCAGGGAGGGGGGCAGGCGGTCCTGGGGCTCCAGCTGGGCTCTGTCTCCCCACCCCAGGGACACCCCCTGCCCTTCTCCCCGGGAAATGACATCGCAAGCTGTCTGGTGGCGGTCTGAGCCCCAGAGGTCTCAAGCCCCGGAGGAGGAGTCAGAACAAGCGGCCTGTGGTCAGAGCTGCCTGGGGGGTGGGGGAGGGTCCCCGGCACGGGGCAGCGACTCTGTCGGGAGCGTCTGCCCGGCGTGCAGCGGGAGGTGGGCTGGGGGAACCATGCGCTCACTGCAGTCCCAGGCAGGGTGCACCCGGGGGTGACTGTAGCTGGCCTGCTCCACAGACAGCTGCTCCCGGCTGAGGTGAGGACCCAGGTCCCAGGTGGCCGGGGTTGGGTGCGGTGGGGTGGAGTGGGGGAGGAGGGTGCAGATGAGTTCCTGGGTGTCCCAGGGCGCAGTAACGGATCAGAACTACCTACCTCCAAGGCTTTGAGAGCAAAGCCCACCCCAGGCCTGACTCCAGGAACACCTGGCCAGAGCTCCCACCTGTCGTGCCCTGCTCCCTGGGTGGACCCCAGACCCAGTCTAGCTGTGACGTTCCTCCCTCCTCACCTGCCTTGGAAGGTAAAGCACACCCTTCCGGGCAGAGGACTTAGGCACCCTCTGACCTCACCTGACCGGACCCCGCCATCCTAGTGCTGGGCTGTCTCGTCTCCCCCCAGGGCAGTGGCATGGGGAGGGGCAGGTCTCGTGGGAATGGGCTCTATCTGCTGTCTGCCCGACTGTAGAGGGTGGACTACTGCCCGCCCCTCACCCAAATTCAGGACCACCTGGAACCTCCGAAAGTGACCCCATTAGAAATAGGTTCTTGGCAGGTGTCAGTGGGTAGGAGGAGGTGACACTGGAGTAGGGTGGCACTGAAGCCAGTGGGCGGTGCCCTTAGAAGAGGCTGGGGCGGGAGGAGGCGCAGAGGGGACGGCCACGTGACTGAGGAGGCGGAGGTGAGCGATGCGCCTGCAGGCCAAGGACTGCGGGCAGCCGGCAGCGGCTGGGGGAGGAGGCATGAAGGGGAGTCTCCCGGGAGCCCCCAGAAGGAGCCGACCCTGCCAACACCCTGACCTCAGACTCCTGGCCTCCGGGTCGGTGAGAGAAGGCACTGCTGCCGTTCCCAGCCCCCCGGCGGGTGGCCTTTCATTCCCACAGCCCCCCGACACGAGCACTCCACCCTTCCCGCTCCTCTCTAAACCGCCGCTCGGCCGGGTGTTGCACCCCTCCCCCCCCACCCCACCCCCGCCCACGCGCCTCTCGTGGAGGTTTCCAGGGACCTCCTCGTCCCCGAGTTCATGGACAGTTCTCAGCCACCAACACACCCCACCTGGCGTCGCCTTGTCCTTCCTGAAGTCCTTCTCTACTTGGTGTCCAGGGCACCCACCTTGCCTCCAGCCCCACGGCTACTCCGCCTCCCCTCCTTCCCGTCCTTCTGACCTCGAAGCACTGACGCACCCCAGGGCACGGCCTGAGCCCTCTCCGTCACCCCTAGGGGATCTCAGCCGGGGGTCACACCTCTAAACCCCATCTGGCCATAGATGCCTCCCCGCTGACACCGTCCCAGACCGTGTCTGCAGACTTACAGGGCCGTCTGGACCTGTCGAGTGAGAACCAGCCCCCGTCACCTCACCCCTGGGCAGTGGCCATAGCTCCTCCCTGGGCAACCAGTCTTCCCCCAACGTCCATGTCCCAACAGCAGCCTGACCCTTCCAGGATACAAGGTGCCCTCTCAATAGAGAACCGAGGCGTCAGGAAGAGGCCGAGGCTGGCAGTTCTGACGCACGGCCCCTCATCCTACCCCCCACGCATGCAGTGGGCTGAGGACGCTGCCACACCTCATGGGTTTTCCGGTCAGGATCCTCCAAAGCTAACACCGTGCAGAGCGGGGCCGGGCCTGGACTGGGGAAGGCGAGAAGCCACGCCTGGCGTTATGGTTCTGCTGCCGGGGAGGGGAGTCCTCAGCGCTGGTCACGAAAGCCGGAGGTGGGTCCAGGCCACGGGCACTCCCAGCATTCCCCCAGGGGCCAGCTCATAATGGGGTGCTCGACAGCCCCCTCCTGGCGCACCCCCTCCCCTCAAACCTGAAGGTCTGGAGACTGCAAGCCCAGAGTAAGCGTCTGTGCTCCTGACACCGGGGGGGCCTCCCCACCATCTGTCCGGCAGCGGGGGTTAGACCTTGGGGTACCAGGCCAAACCTGCTGCTCAACAACAGTCAGTACACGTGGGGGCGAAGCTTTGTAGCCCACCCGCTCTGCAAGGCGAGGTCTGCGGACGCTAGGAGGGACCCACGGTGAGGGGCGTCAAGCATAGTGGTGGACGGCTTCGGAGTTCCAGGACCACCTGCCACCATGGGCTCCCAGCCAGGTGGCCCCAGAGCCCTCCACCTCCCACACGAGGACAGTACTGTCACACGAGTTGTTTTCACACACGGGCTAACAAAGGCCACTCCCTTCTCCGAAGGGACAGGCGGGAAACGCTGCCGACTCGGCCCGTTTCTGACTCACGTTCTCCTCTCCAAAGGCCCCCAGATGCCACGACCGAACAAGCCCATCTCAGGGAACAGTGCCCCGGGGGAGCCCACGGAGAAGCCTCCAGCTTCTACTGGGGGAGAAAGGCCCTAAACCTGCCCAGTGAGCACGAGAAGCTGCTGGCCTACAGTTACGTGGGAGGACCGAGAACTGTCCAGGCTGCACCCCGCTCCACGATACCCCGGCCGCTGTGCTGGGAGTCGGTCAGCTGCAGAGTAGACCTCAAGACCGGTCAGCCCGAAACACCTGACCTTGGCCGAAAGGCCGAGAAGCAGTGGGTCACGTGGAAACAAACCACATCTATCAAAGACCATCCATCATTTATTTATCGTTTTATTCACCATCCGTCCACCTATCCACCCACCCATCTGTCTTTCATTTATTCATTCATTCATACACCCACCCATTCACTTACCCACCTACCCATCTATCTATTCATTTATCTATTCGTTCATCCATCAACCCATCCATCCACCCGTCTTCTGTGTATTCATTCATTCATGCACCCACCCATCTACCTACCTACCCACTCGCCACCCATCTACCCACCCATTCACCCATCTACTCATCCATCCAACCACCCATCCACCCACCAAACCTTCCACCCATCTCTCTGTCCAGCCCCGCATGAGGTGCTGCCAGGTTATCTGGCAGACTCCAGCTCGAATTTTTCACTTAACCAGAGGCAGGCAAGAACCACCTCTGAGGATCTGAACGAGTTGGGATGTTTGCCCAAAGACATTTTAATTCCAATGACCGCCCAAACTCCTGGCCAGGCCCCCCCCGCCCCCCCGGGACCCCAGGGACATAGGCAACCTGGGGACAGTGTAGAAGACACTTACGGTCAAGTCCGTTCAAGTAGCGCATGCGGATCTCGCAGTGGCCCCAGACGGCACTCACAACAGGATACAGTTTTTTGCCCTTGAGTCCCCGGAAAGCCACTCCCATGTACTGTCCGTCCACAATGAAGCTCAGGGTCCCGTCGTCCATGTCCAGGGCCACGAGGAAGGAGTCGGGGACAATGAACGTCTCGTCCGGCTCCAGAAAGGCCGGGTACGTTTTGCTCGGTTGGTTCTTGCCGTCGTGGTAGAGCCGGTTGCGCCCCAAGTCCCAGCCCCAGGACTCGTGGTTGTTGCCCACGAGCGTCGTGTACCCGACGGAGTGCAGGGGGGCGTCGGCCGTCGCCACCCCCACCACGGCGTGCGTGCCCCGCTGCCTCATGGCCCACGTGATCTGCCACACGTGGAGCCCCCGCGTGTACCCGACCTTGCCCCGGATGGCGTCCGTGCTCTGGGCCACCGGATGCCGGTGGAAGATCAGCTTGTCGTCCTCCTTCACGAAGACGTTGAGCGAGCGGTCATTGTTGTTCCACGAGTGGAGCAGCTGGACCTCGTAGGACACGGGCGGCATGTCCAGCAGCAGGTCCAGGCGGGTGGGCTTGCAGTAGTCCAGGCCCTGGAGAGCCTGCTTCAAGGGCCGGTACGTGGGGTCCCTCATGTCCACAGTCTTGATCCCTCCGGTGACCTTCTGACCCATGCTGGCCCGCTTCACCTGGTCACCGACGCCCGAGGCAAACTCATCAATCGCACGGCCTCTGCTCCCGAAGGCTGCCAGGCGCCTCTGCGCGTTGCGGAGCGGTCAGGACGGCCTAGTGGGTGGACAGAAAAACAGGAGGCGGGGTGAGCGGGGGCGCGGGGACATGGCGAGGGAGTTAACGAGGAACGCAAGGGCCATACAAACAGGCTGCCCGCGCTGTCACGCCCCAGCGGTCTGGGCTCTCAGTGCACCGGACACGGGGCAGGCGGGAGCCTGGGCGCATCTGGAAGCCCTGCTCTGCCCCTGCAGCTGTGTCGTCCTAAGGGAGAGGGGCTGCCGGCCCGGCGGTCCGCATGGAGGGAGGGAGGGAGGGAGGGAGGCGTGGGGGCTGGCGTTGCACCCCACTGTCGGGTGCACCACGCACCTAACTGTGGCTCTTCAGGGCAGAAGGCCACGTTGGCCCAGATCCGGGAGTCAGCCCATGCAGTGGGCATGTCCCCTGGTCCTAGCAATGGGGAGCCTATTTCCTGTGCCTGCTGCTTCGGGAAGAGGCGAAGCCCCGGGAGGCAGCAGAAGCTCTTTGGGATGCCAGCTCCCTGCTCTTCCCTCTTGCAGCACGGCCGCCTCCCACAGCCTCTGGCTCTCACCAGGGAGGGGAACCCTGGGGTGGACAGCAAGTTCAACTCGGGGGAGGCAAGGGGGCTCAGCCGGCAGACCCCGAGGCTGCAGCAACCTCCCCTGGAGGTCCCACGTCCCACCACATGGACCATAACGGGGAGGACGAGAGGTGGGAAGAGGGAGGAGACGATGGGGTGCAGGGTGAGAGAGAGCAAGGGGGAGGGAGCTCTCAGGCTGGCAGGCCTGGGCCTGGGCCCACCTGTAACTCCTGCTTGGGCCGCAGCAGGGATCTGCTTTGTCTGTGCAGCGCTAGAGAGCAACTGTCTCAGGCCGTGCCGACGGGACAGTCTCCATGCAGCCACCCAACTCTGCCTTGTAGCACGAAGGCAGCCACAGGCAGTGCGTAAGTAAATGAGCATGGCTGAGTTCCAATAAAACTTTATTTACAAGAACAGGCGGAGTGCCGGCCAACCCCTGAGCTAGACGAAGGTGTCCCCCCCGCACCAGCACCCCTGCACATGACCTCTGCTGCAACGGCGGCAGCAGGAAGCATAAGACGCCTACGAGGAGGAATCTCGAAGCAGCAACATCAGTCCGACCTTGGAACAAGTGATGAGGAAAGACAGCGTGAGCTCACAGGGGTGGGCCCTCTGTCTGTCCAGGTCAGCTCCACAAGAGCCCGCCGCCTGCAAGGCCGGCTGCGAAGCAAGTCCACAGAACCGGTCCTTGTGTAAGCTCCTACCCTCCCAGACCCCCGTGCCAGGAACCATCCGGGAGGGCGGGCCCCTTCCTGCCCCTGCACTGCACAACCTTGAGCGGAGGGAGTCTCTGGGAGGAAGAGGTGGGAGGGCAGATGCGGCATCACCGGGTGCCTCCACACAAGGGCAGCTCAGGGCCCAGCCAGGAGCCACGTGGGATCTGCTGCTTCTGGGTCATCTTGCCATCTGAGTCACCTCCTAGGTGGTCAATCGCTGTGGCAACCTGAGGGCCATTCTTGACTCGCCTGTCACCTGCCGGTCCCCACCCTGTGTCCAAGCCAGGGTCAGAGCCACCACTTCCTTCTTGCTGCCTTCCTGGTGTCCACACCCGGCCGCAGGCCCGAGAGGCCCCTGAAGCCATCCAGCTGCCTTCCCCTGTCCATCTCTTCTTAAATGTGATCTGTCCTTCTGCATGCCCCCCCCCCGGGGAGCTCCTGTCACCCCTTTCTTGGGGACTGCGGGCACACCCACAGCCATGTCCCCTGGGCACACGGGGGCGGAGACACCTATTGGATGCACCCACTGTTTTTCTGCACAAGCCACGGAGAAGTGGGGCGCTGGCTGAGAGCTAGCGGTGAGAGGGGACGAGCCGTGTGGGATCCACAGGGTTAAAAAAGGTCGAGGGACACGAGAGGATGCGGGGTGAGTGTCTGAGACACACAGACAGATCCCCAAACTGAGATGTGCTTCTCGGCTCGCAGGTGCCATCTGGGTATAAAACAGCCGGCATCACCTGCCACCCACTCTTCCGGGGTCTACGGAACCTCATGGCTCTGCCCGGGGACATGTGGACAAAGACACGCACTGAACCACGAACTCCAGCAGACTCGGAGAGGAGGCCGCCCTTCAGATGTACTGAATTAACATAAAGTGTAACGTGATGCTGCTACATGTTAAAAAGCAACTCGGAGAACAATACACAGAGCATGACCCCATTTCTGTAAGAACAGGGTTCTTAAAAAGCTTAAAAAGCTTCTCTCTGTGGGCTTTTTTTCTTCTCGTGGGCTCAGGCTGAGGGCTGGAAGCATAAGCCCCAAACTTCTCACGACGGTTAATCCTGCACGGCGGGGTGGGGGAAAGTCGGTTCCCTTCGAATACTTTTTGAACAGAAACTTGACAAAAATGCACCTATCACGCGCATGGTAATGATGATTTTTAAGTACCCAAAAAGGAACGCAAGGCTGAAAAACACTGATTGCACACCCTGCCTCCACAGAAACCAGTTGTCCCTGGCGCGATTCCTATCGGCTGCCCCGGCTGTCCGCGCCTTTCAGCCAAGCACAGGCGCAGGTTTCATTCACCCACCAGGATGCACGCTGACTCCAGAGTCGGCGAGGGCGTTTAAACGTAAAAGTGGGAATTCCCAGCTGGAGCTCCGAGGCCATCCGAGAGAGGGACATTCTTTCCGCAGTGATTTCTCCCGGGACATCCAAGGACACTGTTTTCTAAAGGACAAGTGTCCATTTGCCCAACAGCAATGGGGAGGCTGTCCGTCTCTGCCAGCCCCATGCGAGAAAAGGGCACACTGGGGAATCCGAAACCCAGCCGCACGGGCTGCACGGCGGCCTGCGCTCCCCTCTGCAGGGCCAGGAGTGGGAGGGGGGCCCGGGGGCGGGGGGAGAGCAGTGACTGGGGAGGGGCACGAATTCCCACCCTGGGCTCCAAGAGGACGGCAGGCTCAGCAGCACCTGCCCAAAACTCCACGCCGTCCCTTTGCCGGAAGCCCCAGCTCTGCAGTGCGCCTGCCTTCCGAAAAAACACCTCCTCAGACCGATTCGCCCCGGGGCCCCGCCCCGCCTAAAACCGATCCTTCTGTTCTGCGAGAAAGTTCACAGCACGAAATGTGCGTGGGGACTGGCGACCACACAGCCTGGGGGACCAGCCCAGGGCACGTGTGGCAGAGGGATGGCGTAGGGGTGGGGGCGGGGGACACTCGGAGGAGGCAGACACCCAATCACCTCCTTTTGGGCTCAGTTCCCCCCTCAGGGCGACTGACCCCAGAACAGTAAAACCATTGTTTTGACTCAAGACGGGGAAAGAATGAAATTCAGGATGTGGAACAAGGTGACCTATTTATAAAGCCGCCTTTCACCTGAAGATCAAACGTGCTCCCTCCCTCCGCCGCCCCACCCCGCCTCCCTCACAGGTGGTGGCGGCCCAGGATTTTGCAAGAGAAGCTGCCCCGGGCGGGCGATCTGTGATTAGAGCAGAACCTGGGTGCCGCTGGTCTGCCTGCTGGTGAGGGTTCCGGCCTCCTGGGAGCCGTGGCTCGCCAGCACGCTTCAGTGTGGGAGCGCACTCAGGGCGTGTTCCGTGCCAGCCGGGCCGTGGGCCCCCCCCCCCGCCCCGCAGAAGGTGCCACCGACAGACAGCGGGGCGAGTGCTCTGCCCTTACAACTCCCTGCCCCAGCCCACCTGTCCACGGAGCTGTGTCCTTGCTCAAGCACAGACACAAGAGCATCGGCCCCTAGAATCAACAAAAAAGTATCGGACCCTTCCGGAAAGTTCTGACGAGTGATTCTGGAGAGAAAAAAATCCCACACGGCCGGTCCAGAGCTCTAGCCTCTGACCTCAAAAGACCAAAATCGCACCTGCCGTAAACACCTACGAAAGGACCCAGATTACTCATACGGCACTTTCAGAAAGGGCTCGAATCGGTTGAGCCGCGCCCCTGGGAAACCAGCCTGACATTCATACAGAGACTGAAAATTAAAGCACAGAGTCACGGCTGCGGCCTGGCCAGGCTTGGGACGGCCACGGGCTGTGCCTCCTCCGGACCAGCCGCCCTGGGCTCAGAGGCCTTCAGTGCCACACAATGACCCACAGAGACCTTCCAGAGGGGCCACCCGGGCAGTGGCAGACAGACACGCCTGCAAGTGGCAGGGGGGAAGGGAGTCTCGGTTGCGGGCCCCCGACATCACCCAGCCTGGGGTTGGGCGTCTGTCTCGCTGGGCCTGTGTGGTCCACCCCACAGAAAGGAGGCAGGAAGACAGGGCAGGGGGCAGTGCCATGGCCACCTCCATCGGAGCCCAAGGGGAAAGGCTCGGGGACAAGGGTCCCTCCTTGCCCCTTCCTGGCTGGGGACAGACACCCTCAGTCCCCCAGGTGGACTGGGCGGCCTCAGTGAGCTCACTCCAGGTGCCCGTTACGTGAAGCTCCTGCCCGCTCCTGCCTCCCTCTGACCCTGGAGGACGCCCGAGAGGATGCGATCCTGAATGCCAAGGGCAGGAAGGCGCTCAGCCAGGGGAGGCCCAGGGAGGCCCAGATTAAGGCCTCACAGGGCGGCCCAGGGAGCCCGGCCCCATCTTGGAGGAGCATTTTGGGAGGGGAGGGACCTAGGGGCATCCTTGCACCTGCTGGAGAAGAGGGCGGGGAGGCAGGAAGTCCCCCATGAGGCCACAGCTCCAGCAAAGCTGCCTGTGGGCACACAACTTCAGAGCCCCAAATTAGATACCCCCCTAGGTCCACAGCAGCTGGGGCAGAAATCCCATAAACTTTCTACAGCAGGGAGAGGCTGTAGGGACATTCTGAAGTCAGGTTCACAAGAGTGGTTCTCAAAGTGCGGTCCCCGGGACCAGCTGATCAGCAACACCTGCTGGAGCGGCAGTTGCTCTGGCCCCACCCCGACCGATGCATCAGAGACTCTGGGGGTGGGGGGCACCCAGTGGTCTGCATCCCAGCGAGCCCTCCAGGGGCTGGGGGCATGGCTGGTTGAAAGGAAGAAAGGACTCCAGCT